GAAAAATCAAGTTTTCTCCGCGATGTAGATGACAAACCCGCCATTGCTGTGAATTAAACAAAACCGCTGGTTAAATCCCGTAATTATTTCGCGGCTGAAACTCACCAGCTAACTTCAATTAAACATTGAACTGACAAAAGTAACAAATCTTTATGAAAATAACCAACTTTTGATTGGGAATTTTTGATTATTATAATTATCATGTGAGCTTATTGCAGAACAGACCAAAATAGCAGCATACTACTAATATCAACTTTTTAATCAAACCAGTGCGTCTCGCCAATTTTGAAATAGTAGATAATAATTCAGAAACACAATTAGTAACTGATCACTAATCACAGTGATTGCTGATGGTGGGGTTTTCCTGTGCGTAGCACGGGTTTCCTGCTAGTATTTCATACAATGATAATTGAAATGAGGTCAGTAGAAAGAATTTAAGTCACATTATATGAAAGTAGAGAAAAACATAAAATGCATTTCTTATGAGAGGACTTATTGGTGCTCAAAGAAAGCGCTTTCTTCACAGGAGGAGTAACAGTGCACGAAGTAACACGCTTGACAGTTTCTTCACAAAATCTGATATGAACGACAATTTGCTTCTCATAAAGTAATGCGCCGAAAAGTTTTCAATTTGTCCCCCTATACCAAATGTGCTGCCCGTGTGATCTTCACAAAACGCGGCCAGGGAGGGGGGGGGGGGCTGACTGCCATCATTGAAAATTCCTCACTTTCACTACTTTTCAAAAGTGCACGGTGCTACAACACTTTCTGGACCCCAGGAATTGGACATCACCAGGTAGAAAGGATACTTTGTCACCCTATGGCCAAAGTATCACAAGCATCTTGCAACGTTTCAAATCTTTGCTGCTATTTTATTTTTTTACAGAGAAATTTTTGGTTGAATCTGTTTGAAAATTTCACTGAATTTTATCGACAGCACAAAGAAAATTCAGTGAAATTATTGGACAGCTTCGTTGAACAATATCCCTGTAAAAAATGAAATGGTGATGGAAATTTTGAAACGTCTTATGGCGCTAGTGATACTTTGGCTGGAAAGTGACGATTTATAGCAAGGGAGTGCATAGTATATGAGCAACAAAGTTCATGGCGGTGCATGGTAGATTTGTTAACTTTCTTTTTCAAAACCTCCCCGCAAATAAATTCCTTTCATCTATGATGTCCAATTATACTAGAAAATTTGTACATAAGATTAGGAATTGATAATACTTGATGCTTTCCTTTTTGTAATTTAATTCTGAGTTTTTTCGTTTGGTAGTGTTCTTTAATGTGGATCAATTGACTTTCAGGTTGTCGAGTTGCTTTTGAAAGTCCCATCTGACTTTTGGGCCGCAATAATTTCTCCTTCTGCCACTGTTGGCCCTTACAGCCAACCCACAACTCCATATAATAGTGGAATGCGGAACACGCCATCTACAGAAAATTTAATGCGTCAGACAGTCAATAGACTCTTCTCTGGTACCCCTCTGGGGCAAAGGTAATTTAATTTTTACCAGTCATGTTGTTTTTACCACTGCCAAGTTCAACCAATAAAACATGGTTTTTGATAAAAAAAAATGGAGCTACAAGCCCAGATAAACAATTAATATTTCTAACTTGTTTATCTTGGCTTGTAGCTCGATTTTTTAATCAAAAACCATGTTCTATAAAGCATAGCCAGCCAAAGGCAATAACATATATTTAACTTCTCCCCATGCAAAAAATGTTCCATGTTTGAGATCCGTGAGTTAATTTTACAGAAGAGAGCAGGGAAGTTGCAGAAAAGTTTATAACTTCAACCATTTCTCACTTTACGATATTTTTGCCTACTATAGGATTTTTCTCATTTTCTACTCCTAAGAACCCTCGAATTTTCAGGACTCCTTTTTGGGGGCTTATGATTCTGCTTCACATCTTCAGGTTTGCTTCATGTTCGAAGATTTGCCTCATATTCATTGCAATCCTGATCGTAAGATCAGACATCTTTTCGTCCCTTGGAGAGCATTATGTACTATAATGTGTGCCTTGCAAACCTCTTTGATATTTTTTTCATAGTTTGATGAACAATAGTTTTGAGCCAGTATGTCTTTAAACTTAAACACGTCATCCGCAAAATTCACTCTGATTTCTTAAGTTTACTTTTTTTTTTGTCAGCTAGAGGGTGAAGAAGGAAAAGATGGCGTTCCTTTAATGGGTTATCAGCCCTGTGTAGGGCTTTATCAACTTTACTTGAATTGCCGAGCCACCAGCGATAAGAGAGGCCTTACGGCCAAAACGTTTGAGTCGAAACTTGTGTCTAGCAAGTACGTTTCACTTAATTGCAGACTTATATTGTTAAAACGGAATAGTTTTCTTGAAAGCTGCGCGATAAAGCTTCTTTGAGTTGGAAAAGTTAGCATCTATTCCCGGTTCTGCTAAATAATTTAAATAATCCTAAGTTTATGCTCTCAAATTTAATTATTCACTATTTGAATGCAATATTTCATTCAGAGTTAATGCTTGTATTATTTCCTTTGTTTCAGGACGCGCCGAAAGAAAAGGTTCTTCGACACACCTCCAAGCCTCAAAAAACAATAATTAGTATCATTCTATTTCCCTGCTGTAAGTGCAGGATAATTATATTCATATTATATCTGTTAACTATCTTACTTAGTTGAACGTGTACTTATGTCACCCAGCCACTAACATTATCGTAATTTTAAGTCTTTTCTCCTCATTAAGTGCTAGGTACCCTTTTTTGCCAATTCTCATAAGTCAATTTCTTCAAATTTTCCAGTTTATAACCACACCTGTGCAGAAAAATAGTCACTTTTAATTTTTTGGATCATTCGGTCATATTTTTGTACGAATTTACCATCAGGTTTTCACCCTTGTCTGTTGATATTATGTCGTATACCTTTGTCCAGGTAGATGTACTTATGTAATAAGACTTAAATATTTTCTTAAATTGTTACTTTTACCAATTTTATATGAAAAAAAAAAAAAGACTGTATATAAATTGATCTACTCCATAATAATTATATTAAGTTAAGCTTGCGGATCTGACTTTGAAAATAAACATCTCAGGTCTAGAAATGTCTTCAGTATTTTTTTTTTATAACAACTGTGTCAAGAATAACTCCTTTTGACAGATTCTAAGGCCTTGTCTCCATGTAAGGTTTTCTCATGATGTGCAGCTGGGAAAAGTAGCGCCAACAAAACGACATCTCTTCATTTAGTAGAAAGGAACCAATGGAATAACAGTGTTTTCAAAATCGTGCAACTTAGCACAAGTACAGTCCTGCAAAATTAACAATTTTTTGGTAGAAAAACAAAAGATATTTGCTACCCTACGCATTTTTTTTTTTATTAAAAAGGAAGATATTTGATTTTGATAACACTAATCGCATTGGTTCCCCTTTGCTAAATGGGCTCCTGTTAATTGCTGTTCCAAGAGTGACTGATAGAAGAAGAAGCAAAAGCAAATTGTACGTCATTTTGTTGTTCATTTGACTGCTTGTTTCCTTGTTTTTTGTTTACATTTGGTTGGTTTTACTAATCATTTAACTTCACCCTGTACCCCACCTACTTTTTAAATAATTTTTTTAATAATCAATTTGGTTCTTGTTGCAAGAATATGAGAGCTCTCCCCTGCCAAAACGGTACCGCTGAAAAATCGCGTAAGTTTCTCTTGTGCAATTCGACAATGCAACTAACGTTCCAAAAACTGCCCATGGAGACAAGATCTAAAAGCTTTTGCCTTGTGGGCAGTGATCAAGCATTAAAAACTGTGCCCAGGTGTTGTGTAGGCATTATTTAAATCTCACGACTCTAATTTCACCATGAAATCCCTTAATACTGGCCTATGAAAAGAAAACAAAGAGAGATGGATGGATAAGTCTTAAGGGACCTTAAGACACTCAAAAACGAATATATAAGCTTAGTTTTAAGAGTTAAATGGAAAACAGAGACACCTTTACGGTGGTTCATTGTCTTATCAAAATGAACATTTAATTTACTTTCCAGTTATTTGTATTTCAAAAAAAATACGAGCAGAGGCTTTTGTCAATGTATTTGCTCCCTATCTTCGCAAGGAGAGTTTATCTTGATGTAGACGAAGACTCTAGGGATAGCGTGGGATATACCCTCCAACTTGGCCTTAACTTGAGAGCTTTTTTTGAGCTTGGGAGTTAATTTCAGAGAAAACCAGTGGCACCATCTTGTTTCTCGTGAACTTTTATGTAAGAATCAATAGTCAAATCGCAAATTCCTCACACATGCAGCATCTCCATTTCTGTAAACTAGACCTGTTCAGTCCCTTCAAAAAGTGATAAAATACTCATAAGACGCCAGAGTGAGAGTTAAAAAGATGAGTTTTCTCCAATTTGCGGCCTAAAGCTATGTGAAGGAGCCTTGTGCACGATTAACTCTGAAAACGGATCCCTCACATATGATATTAAATTAACACGGGAACAGGTTAAGATCTAAGTACAACATTACCCAGTTTTTAAATCTTAATTGGAAAATGGATATTTTCAGTCGGGGCTTGAGCAGATTCAAATTTTGAACTGCACTCGAGGAGCAGATTTTTGGAAACTTGACTTTTTTGCACTAAGTGATGTAGAGGTAATCCTTTTAAACTTTGATATATTCATTTATTTTATCCCCCCCTAATATTGTCCCCTTTGCTGAACTCTGTCATTAAGAATCTATCAGTGTTCATCGCACCCAAAATTGAACCTACTTGTTCATTATTGAGTGTAAATTCTTGGGAGTGAAGCCTCGAAACATGTACAAAGAAAAATTCCTCAGAAAAGGAGTATAAGAAAAAAGGTTTTTCTCTACTTAAGATAGGTACTTGTCACTTATGGTCATTTTACTTACTTTAAACTACTGTTCAATTTTCAGTTCAAATTGGATGAAAGAAGCAAAATTTTAAAACAGCAGAAGTGGTATTTTTTTCAGGTCATCTCTGATATAAAATTATGAAGTTAATATTTTTAGTAGTTCATTCTAAATATTGAAAGGGAATGGAAGCTCTTTATTTATGCACCGAGAAGTGCATGCAATTGAATCAAAGATCTTGTTCTTGAATTTAAATTTTGCCGCGTTGAACTTTGATTAGACTGGTTTGGCAACGCTGTAATATCGATGTCAGCCTCACAGTTCTTGGAGGTTATGGCTGCATCAACAAACTTATCAGCCAACTAATTTTTAGATCTTAAAAAATGACGGCACTAGCCCTCAATTCGGTGCCGCAGCTATTAAGTAAGTTTCTGTTTTTACTTTTCAAAATTTTCGCTTCAATTTTAAACTTAATTTTTTCCCTACACACTTCATCATATTTTTAAGCCCATGTCCACAAGTAGTGACCTCCAAATGTTTCTCAATTTTGCTTGAATTTAGAACTCTGCTTGTAACTTCGGTAATTTGGAGAGTCCGCAGAGCCAGATAAAATGTTGCAGTACACGTTTCTTAGCTTCAGTCATGAATGTAACCTTCTTTTCGCCTCAAATCGACTAATGGTAGTAGCGCACCTTTGAGCAATTTTGATACTTCTCGACATGCAAAGTTAGCTATAAAGGCCGTCTAGCATCTTTAGCAAGAAACTTGATCTCTTAAAGAACATTAATATTTTGACTGTTGGTAGTGAGGTAGTAGGAAATCAAAGCTTGGCTCCATCTGCTGTGGTTTGGGTGCAAGTCAGGCTGTTGATTGATATGATCAAAATGAATTTGAGATCTCGCACCCTTAATAGAGAAGGATGGCTAAAGTGGAAAACTTTACATCCATGTAGCAAAATTTTGAAACCTCTGTGTGTAGCTTATTTCCAAAAGGGAATTGATCCAATATCTCTTTGAACTTTTTGGTGAATATTCACTGATGAGTGAACAAAAGGAGAAAGGTTTAGAAATGACAATTTAACAATGTCTCTCTTCCTTCCATTTCTTACCATTGAAGGGACTTTCCCAGTAACCTCCCTCCGAATGTACTGTTAAATAAAGTCAACTGTTAATTTGTTGGTTTCCTTGTACCTATTGACTCTTCTTGTTGTTAAGTGTTCCAATTTTTTCATCAACGTCTGTCTGCTGAGTATTCTTAATTTGCATCGATATTCCATGGTAACTATATTCAAACCAGAATGTCAAATTATTGGTATGCCCTTAGACGTAAACGGAAAGGGCAGTAATGTCGCATTATTTTATCATATTCCTAAGAATATTCCAAGGTTCTTTCACAGGAGCATACTTCTAAAATCCTGTACTTAGCTGTGTACAGCATATTTCAGAGGCAGTGTTTCTGGTTTTTGATGTCAGTTTCATTTTTTATTTTTTGTAGGAGCGCAAGCTGGGCCTGCAATTTCAGTAGCATTTTACAGCGATGGCAAAAAAATTGTCTTGCCGTCAGCACTCAAAAAAGGCACTGGTGGCCGCTCCAGTTTCAATGGCATCGTGGCAACTGTGTTTGGTGCTAATGGATTTTTGGGGAGAGTCCTGTGCAACAGACTTGGGAAAGTAGGCACACAGGTAAGATTTTTTTTAAAAAAAATACCATCACAGCTGTATAGTCTGAATCTGGTTTCTCTTTGTTTTCCACAGAAATACTTTTGGATATACTAGCAGGAATGCAGATAATATAAGAATGGAAAAGAAGGACACTTAAACACAATTGCGTCAGACTTTTTAACAAAATGTCATCCAAAGAGGATATATAAACAAGCAAATAAATTGAAAAGTGCTTTGAGGAATTTTTTAAGGTTGCAAATGATTTTTTTCCATGGTGTGTCTCATTAGTACTTATTACTACTCCAAGAAGATTTTGATGTCTGTGACAAACATAATAATGAGTTTGATTATCACGGTATAAAATTATTAAAATTTACTCTTGACTTATTTTTGGTAGCTTACTCACCATTGAAGAGATTACTCTGTCATGCTATGTCTGATTTGGATAATTTTGATACTTACCGATGGTTCATGATAATCTGCAACCAACCAGTTTTTTCCTCCCGGCAAATGGACCTCTCAATGTCCTTTAAAATCGAAGGAAAATAGGCCAGCAGGCTGATCTTTGAAAATGATAGACAAAGCTTTAGACAAAGAAGACACAGGGAGTATGGAGCAATCCTATTGGTTGAGATGGGTGGTTCTTATAGCCAAAGGGGGTAAATGATGGACTAACTTTAAGATCTCTCGCGGATCGCTGTCAGTTAGTTTATTACCTACCTCTGATGTCCATTGCAATGCAACCACCCGCTTCCACCAATAGCATCCCTCCATATCCCTGTTGTCTCCTTTGTCAATAGCTTTGTCTATCAATTTCAACAATCAGCCTGCAGAGTAGGGTCTGAATAGACTCGTCTAAATAAAAAGGAACTATTTCCCATGTGACTTTGTCTCTATCATACATGTATTCTTGTGGATCTCCCAGCTCACTCCAGAATGGATATTGTTCCTTTTGATTTAAATTTAAGTACGTCTAAATTTGTCTCAGTGCTGCTGGCTGATTGTTAAAATTTATAGACAAAGGAGACAACAGGGATATGGAGATATCCTATCGGAGGAAGCGGGTAGTTGCAATGAACATAGGAGGTAAGTAGTAGACTGACTAACGGCAACCCTTGAGAGACCTTATAGTTCGTCCATCATTTACCCCCTCAGTCTATAAGAACCACCCATTTCAACCAATAGGATCGCTCCATACTCCCAATGTCTTCTTTGTCTACTGCTTTATCCATCAATTTCAACAATCAGCCGACTGCTACCCATTATCTAGTTCACCCTCGGAACAGATTGCTCATGTATCAGCTAGTATAACTGAAAGGTTAGCAGTTGTAATTTAGTCAACTTCAGCTGCTTGACGATGGTTCAAACTTCCACAGCCAAACATAATATTTGTGCTTTCCTGCCTGATTTCTCCCTCTCCTGACATTCCCTCTACCAGAAACGTTTTGGTTACCCCCTCTTTTTTCTATTTCTGCAATGTTTCTCTATTTTCTAATCTTACTGCTCTACCATCCACTGCAATTGCTAACGATTTTAAATGATATTCTACCTTCCAAAAGATGGCTTGTTGATCATACCTGTGTAACAAGAAGACAATATCAACATGACAACATATCAAGTTGCAAGCGTGTCTTTTGTAAGGTGAATCAAACATATAAATTCGTCCAACTTTGCAACAAGTCCGGTGGTTAGTGGGAAAGTGGGGTGAGTGCAAAATCAGGAAATAATAAACAGCAAAAAAAAATGGAAAGAAGAAAAGGTAAGGAAAACGGTTTTTACTTTAAGCACAGTTAGGAGAGAGGGAGAAATTTGGAAGGAAAGCAAAATTATTTTTGTACTCAGCCCTGCAAATTCCAATCATTGTTCACTAGCCAAACTAGATGAAATCTTAGCCATTAACTACTTAGCTATTCTAGCGGACCAGTGAGCTCTAAAGCTGCTTGATAACAAGTGGCAGAGCTGCAGCATGCTCAGAAGCTGCTACAACCTGTTTCCTTTTGATTCTGTATGACATTGCGATGGTCCATTTGCAGATGCAAAGCAACTGCTAGTTCATAAACTTTCATAAACCATCGACCAGTACCAAAATCATTGAGCTGTAATTTGGTCTATCTCTTGTAAGTTTTGGATTTTTTAACATTCCCCCAGTGCAGAAACATCAATGTTCTGTGAGTTAAAAAATCAACTGAGAGCTTCCAGTGTTTGAAAAAGGGTTGCAAGTAAGGTAGTAAAAATGTTTTTGTAGTATAATGAGAAACTAAGTATGTTTGAAAAGAAAAGTAATGTTTTGAAAGTTTGGTATTTTATCATTGAATACTTATCCGATTTCAGCTGATCATACCCTTCAGGTGCGATGCATACAACGTGAGAAATTTGAAACTGGCGGGAGATCTCGGACAAGTCCTGTTCCAAGAGGAGTTTGATGTTCGCGACGAAATTGCAATTTACAATGCCCTGAAATACTCTAATGTAGTCATCAACTTGATCGGTCGCGAATGGGAAACCAGGAATTTCAAGTATCGCGATGTCCACGTTGACGCAGCGCGCAGGATTGCTAGAATTGCCAAGGAGACCGGTGTCCCGAGACTCATCCATGTTTCATCATTGAATGTTGCAGAAAAACCTCAGGTTGGAGGACTTCACATCTTTTGTTTTTGTAACTAAAGTCATTTCATTGTTTCATCTTCATGATCTCAAATGTACTATTCTTCTTATTAGTCATTTATAAGAGAAAATTCAAAACTTATTCAATACTATTATAGTTTTTACCCTAAAGTCGATTTTAAAAGAATTTTTTCCGCTAGTTTCACTAAAGTATCTTCTCTACTCTTAGAAAATGGACATATTGATTGGAAAAAATCCATTTATCTACAATGAACTTTTTTTTATTTGATTGATTTACTTTCATACACAGAGTGTCCAAAAAGTTCCGTAACTGGTTTTGTATTACAAAAAGTTAGCTAGCAAGAGGGTTGATCGTTGTTTCATTTGAAATACAAATTCAAAAGCTATTGATTGAAATGAAGATAAACACGTTTGGTTAAAAATTGACAAAAATTAGGATCGTTTCAGCAACAAAAAATTGCTATCCCCCCACCGGTTTAGCCAATATTTAGTGTTCAAATTAATGTCTATTTTCCCGAATAATTCCACCATCGGTAGGTATTAATGTTTTCTGAATGTAAGAAAATGCAATTGGTATTAATTTAATCCACTTTAATGCATGAATGCTCTTTGGAAGCACTCCTGCGGACTTTTGACTTTTTTTTATTATTCACACCAGTTAAAATTTAGGTTCGGCTTAAACACATGTCTTTGTACGTAGCCAAAGCTGATAAGCTATGTCTAACCCAATACTAAATCAGAAAATATTATTTCTTGTCCACCTCTGTGTCTTTGCGCTTCTAAGCGCCATAGAGGGAAGGAGGGAGGAGGAGGGGTTGGATTAGCTCTGCCCGTCCTATGCTTACAATGCTTTTTGATGGTGCTTAGTTCCGTTCGACAGAACGTGCTCTCCGAGATTTCTTAGTCATCAAAAGGAACTGAAATTGAGGCTTGTTCTGTTTAGTAGAAATACATCCAAGTCATACTAGAAAAATCATGATTTTCATCGGCCAACTTATACCATGATATTTTGGAAGTTTTAGGCTGCTTTTCAAATTTCAGCAAAAGGAGCTCAAAAGGAGGAGTATCGTTTTGGGCCTTTTCCGGCCGGTTCGAAAGTCGAAGGTTCCAGGAAGTGAATATTTAGTTTTATTTCACTACAAATAACGTATCGGAAATGGAAAATTGCAGTGCGTCTCACGGAACATGTAATGGCTCAGATGAATGTGACAAAACGGACCCTCAAGGTGCTTTTACCTTATCCTTCACTTCAGTTCACCTCTTTATTCCTGTAACCTCGAGATAATCCTTGGTTCTCAAGATGCTTGCTACAGGCCAAATATACCAAACAACAGAAAATGCGTGGAGAAAGTGTCCCACGATCCGCATGAAAGTCATAATTCACTTTCTAGAACCTTTGACGTGATGATTAATCCAATTTTTGGCATTTTTGGCGCTTCAGGACGATTTTTCTCGAAAACTTGGCAACGTAGGGAAAAGTTATAAATCACATTTAATGTATTTTTTTACGTTCTTTCCGAAAATGTACACGGTTTTTAGATTAAATTAAGTTTCACACATGTAAACTTGAAAAAACCCCTAAATATGGTGAAAATTGGCAACAATGGACCGTTACGCCTTTTAAAATTCACAGGAAGCAATTTTTATGGCCAGATATGAAGAGTACGTAGAAAAATACATATAGTACAGACCCATAGAGGGTGACTAAGGTCGAGAAACATTCAAAAGAGCTACCTTCAAGTAAAGAATGGCCGCTAAAATCATCATCCCGGTCAATTTTCACATCGTGGGAATTCAGGTACAACTATAATATTTTGATATGTTGTATATATAGGTAAGAGCTGTTACGTACGTCAATATAAAAGTTGTACTCCACTTTCTTGAACCTTAAGCGTGGCAATTTATCGAATTTTTGCCATTTTTGACTCTTTGGGACGATTTTTCTTGAAAATTTGGCAACGTAGGCAAAAGTTTCACTGAACATTTTTTATTTATTTCTTTGCGTTCTTCTCAAAAACGTACACGGTTCTTAGTTTGAATTGATTTCTGCGTGTGTAAAATTGAAAAAACCCCTAAAAATGGGCCAAAAATGGCAACAATGGGCCATATGACCCCTTAAAATTTATCGGAGGCCTTTAAAAAGGCCAGAAACGGAAAGTCCGCAAAAACATACATAGGAATCATCTGCTGAAAGAGTGATAACAGTCAAAAAAGTCGACGAAAATAACTATGTTTCGATGCCGAGGTTCTGGGTTTGAGGCGTTGTTGCACCTCTGCATGGGCTTTGTTTGGTAATATATTTGGCATAAAGTCTACCTAGGACTAGTACTTTGAAAATATGAAACATTCAGCAAAATCCAGGTGGGCCGGAAAAGGCCCAAAACGATACTCCTCCTTTCCTGTAACAATCGAAAATTCGGAAGCATGTCTCTGGATTAAATCTCATTCATACTCACTATATTTATATTTTTTACCAAGTAATTTTTAACCCTAGTTTTATCTTTGCAGAGAGCATTTTTGAAGAACGGAAGTGAGTTTCTGAAAACAAAGTGGGAGGGTGAACATGCAGTCTTAGAAGAGTTCCCAGAGGCAACAATATTTAGACCAGCAAATATCTATGGGCAAGATGATAGCTTCTTGAGGTAAGATGCAAGCAATACTTCACCTGTTGAGAGTGGAATCATTTTCTGACTTTTTTTGTAGCAAACAGTCTTAGAAAAGAAAATATTAAATTTACATTAATTAGAAACAAATTATACATATTGATGACCAAGGAACAGCACCGCCTAACTGACAATTTTGGCGAAAATGAGTCTGCGAATTTCCTGTATTCTACAGTGTAAAATACTAGGGGGCCACGCGCCCTGGTCGCTACGCGGCCCAACCCCCTGAAGGCGCTCCGCGGCATCAATGGGCCGCTTTGCAGCCCTATTTTTAGCCTCCTATCAATGTTGGTTTTATTTTCCCCCTAAAAAATTACGATATGAGGTATTCTTCACTTTTAGAATGAAATGATTTTAGTTTTCAATGAATAAAGAAAAAAAATTTGAAGTTAATAGGACGCGTTTTGCAATGACTGATTAATGAAACATTGCAGTAAAACAACGAATGATGATAATCAGGTCATAATTAAATAGCTAAGGAGGTGGAATCAAACCCACATCTTGAGACATGTGTGCACTTTCGACGTCTTAGACTACTTGCTTAGACTACTTACTACGCCACTGCTCATTTTGAGGTGACCGGGGTGAATCTTGTGTTGATAAGTAGAGCTGATACGCAAGCTACTCAGCCACTGCGCAACCTCCTTTTGATTGCTTTCTTTTGATTTGCAAGCTCCATTCCACTATTTCTATTGTTCCATTTTCAGTCCTCTGAGTTTTTTTTTCTTTCTTTCTTTCTTTCTTTCATTATCACTCAAAAAGAAATTTTTCATAGCACAGAAAAGTTTAAAGTATTTCTTTTTTTTATACGTTTATGAGAAAAAAACTTGATGTATTGTTCTATTTTTATAGCCATTTCCAGTGTTTGCCGCGGCGCACAGGGAAAATTTTGTCTTTATGGAAAAAAGGAGAGGAGACAATTAAGCAACCTGTCTATGTAGGAGATGTAGCTCAAGCAATCGCCAACGCTGCTCAGGACCCAAGCTCAGCCGGTAAAATCTATCAAGCTGTTGGGTATGTAATAATCAATGTATATAAATAAAAATATATTTTTATCATCTGTGCACATATATGGCAATCACAAATGTGTCAGCTATAAGTAGAATAATGAAAAGAAACAAAACAAAACAATAATCATGATAATAAATACTTATGCTAAAATTCTGCTTCGGAGTGGAAAAATTTAACTACAAATAAATTTTTCAGCGCTAAGAGCACAAAGAGTTATGCTCTACTCCTGAATATCGAATAAACTTCAAGATTAGAATAATATAGAATAAACTACTGCAGTTTGGTCGTTTAATTCTGGGATACCCTGTTCGAAATACAACTCTGTGAGATGAGCAGTTGTCATATTTTCCCTGTAGTTTTGATATAGCTTCTCAAGTGAATGATTAGCCTCTTCCTCTTTGTGTTATGCTTTAAAAGCTTTGAATATTACTTGATTTAACATTAACACCATCTGCTATGCTGACGATGCCGTGCTGATAGCAGATTCGGAAGATGAACTGCAGAGAATCTTGCATACTTTTAATCTAACAGCCAAAAAATACAACATGAAGGTGTCTGTCATTAAGGCAAAAAGCATGGTGATCAGTAGGAGCCCCATGAGATGCAAGTTAGAAGTAGATGGTTGTATGATAGAACAAATGATGGAGTTCAAGTATCTAGGAGCGTTGCCGACAAGTACGAAGGACTTGAGGTCCGAAGTGGAAGACCAGGTACTGAAAGCTGCAAGAATTGCTGGTTGTGTCAACGAGATGGTGTGATGCACTAAATATATGGCTCGGGAGAGTAAATTCAGGGTCTACAAGACCATTGTTAGGCCGGTGTTAATGTTTGCTGCAGGGACTAGGGCTGAAACCAAGCGCACCAATTTCGCACCGTTGAGATGAAAGTTCTAAGAAAAATAGCTGGTTTTACACCAGAGACCAGAGACCCTCCACTAGTATCTTTGCCGTTATGGAAGCTTTTACTTTCGGGTCTTCAGCACTCTACTGTTGACTTACCTACATGGTTGATGTTCAACAACGTGTTGGCAGTTTCGTTTTGCAAACACGCCGTAAATGGCCAACGTTTGGGAAACTTGTTTGGCTCATGACGTCATCCGAAGCTCATCATCAACCATGTAAGTAAGCCAACAGCCGAAATTAGGGTGATGACTGTTGCTCCCTTAAAATCGTCCATAAGGAATTGTTGAAACCCCGAAAGTAAAAGCTTCCACCTGTCGCTAAGAGGCCAGTAGAGGGTCTCTTGTCTCTGTTTTACACTTTGGGATTGGCAGACCAGCAAGTCCATCAGGGACGCTCTTGAGATGCAAGATTTAGGCAAGTGGACCAGAGTGAGGGGAAAGATGTGGTCGGAGCTCGTTGACCGAATGGATGAAGAGTGACTAGCAGAAATTTGTATGACTGGACAACCCATAGGAAAAAGATTACCTGGACGACTGTCCAAGAGATGGGCTCAAAGCTGGTTCTCTCCTCCTGAGGATGATTGACGATTTTATGCTGTTTTTATCGATTTGACGAGTCCTTTATTTTAAGTGATTTTTAGATGTTTCATACTTACATATAGTTTCTTGTGCTCGTTACTTGATGGCCTGACAAACAAGGCTATGCCCTAGTCGTTAGAAGAAGAAGAAGACTTATTTTAAATTTTGAAGTCCTGATCATCTAGTGATCCGGAGAAACTGTCAGTATCACTTCATGAGTCCCTAAATTTCATCCCTGGGAGTGTTAAAAGTTTCTAAGTACGGACTACTTCTTGCAATCTCGCGTATTTATCTCACAGAAAAATGTCTGATTTGCCAATTGATAATGGCTTCTTGAGGCCTTAACTCTGTTCTGGTATGCTGTTGTAATCCATGTCGAAGACTTACAAAAAATTGAATTCTTCCTTTTTGACAGACCCAAGCGTTACTATATGTCAGATTTGATGGATTGGACTTACTGGGAGATGCGACGAGACCCGGATATATGGGGCTACAGGCGCTGGGACTTGCGCTTTGACCCAACTGTTTGGGCCCGGCTATGGTTCTTCGGTAGATTGTACGGAAACCCAGTAGGCCACATGATAACGGATAAGATTGAGCGAGTAAGTGTTATGAGCTAATACTATTATTGCAAAATTAATCATTAATTATCAATCAACTATCATTGCTAATACTATTATTGAAAATAAGTTTCACCTGTAAAATAATAGACCAATTAAATTAATATTTTCGAAAAGTTGGATAGATTTCATAACATTTTTTGTTGTAGAGCATGTGTTCAGGTTAAAAATTTTTGTAAAATTTTGTTACTAATTTGCGGTAGAATTTAATTAATTAAGACGCACTTCAGAGCTTAGAGTTTAGAGCAAAATTATATATATTTGAAAAGGAAACCACATTGAATTTGATATATATTTACAGAGAATACCAACCTCAAGCCAAAATTATATTCATGCCAAATTATTCAATCCAGCCACCCACAAGGCAGTGGCCTACAGAAGCATGGGTACAAGGATGGCTAGGGTCCTAAGCAATGAAAAAAGAGAAAGAAAATAGATAATTAAGATTGGAGGGGAAAACGGTTTCAAACTGCAAGAGATAATTAAAATTATGAAAAAAGTCAAAGATAAAGAAAGAATGGAAACTATCTTAACTTTAAGCCAAGGGAAAGATGAATTCAGATGATAAAAATTCGCCTACTACTCAATAGCCCATCGCAAATTTCAAATGATTTTCGGAAAATTTAAAATAAACCTTACTTTCATCAACAGATGTAATTTGACAAACTAACTAAGTAAAAACATAGGCAAGGAAAATACAGAAGTTTTGGAAAAATCAGGCATCTACGAAATTAAATGTGATACATGTAATAAAATTTACTTAGGGCAGGCAAAAATGTCTCTAGAATTCAGATTTAAAGAACACTGACAATATAAAGTATGAAAAAGTTGAAAGATCAGCAGTAGCGCATCATTATTGGCTAGGAAAGCATGAAATAGCAAACAAACCTATTTTAAAGAAAGAAGTAAACAACCCAAGGGAACTAGTTGTCTGGGAAAATATTTATCTACACAGGACAAACAACTTTAATACAGACTTGGTGGGTACTAATAATATGCTGTTCATCTGTTAAACTACTGTGGAGAGGGGGGGGTTACGCTTATAGATGACGTAATTTTTAGGAGGGGCCTAGCAGTGGATGACTGTTGGATACGATGAAGGAGAGGGGGGTGGGGGGTCGAAAAATTGAAAAAAATAGGTGACGTGTTTTATGGACGGCCCTTCAGTTGGAATTCTTCCCATGCTACTGGCTATTTTCAATGTTTTGCTCCTCTATTTTTCCAGGACTCTATCTCTGATGTTATCGACAAGTCCCTGCCTACTCTAGAAGATTTAGACATTAAGCTTACGGATTATGAGCTCCAAGTTCCATGGGAAGTGCGACCCTTCCGAGCATTCTTATACTATGATGAAGCCCCGGGCGAATGGCCTGAACGAAGTCTACCGACAGTAGAACACGCTTGAAAGTCTCTTCATGTAAATTTTAGTCATAAGTTGTTATTATTGGATTACTGGCCTGCCATTTTGTTGTCTTTCCATCAAGATTGTTCTAAAATTACCCAGTAAAAATAAATCATTGTTTACTATTTTATATTTGTACATTAAACCTTCTAAAACGCATTTCGGTTTGAAATTGCCTCTAAGGATTCTTTGAAGTTGATAAGCTGTATTAAACTTTTAAACTGGGTGTCTACTGTACGGAAAAAGTACAGATACACCGCAAAGCGAAAAGTCACGGAAAAAGCACGGAGTTTAGAATGTCGGTACGGAATTTTAGTGAAAAGGTACGGAAATTCGAGATTTTTGTGATGAACTCTAAAGTGTAGCCTTGGGGGTATGCGATGCCCTAACATAATCTATACATCAAGTTCCCGGTTCAATTCCTCTTGTTTTTCGGTTTATTCCTTTGTCATTTCATCATTTCACTTTTCCAATTAAATACAGTTGAAAATGCGTGTGAGGTAAGAAAAAAAATTAAGGAAGAGGTGAGGAAAAAGCAAGGATTTATGAGAATTGTCAAAGAAAAAGAACTGTCGGGAAAATAAGAAAAAAAAACAAGGTAAAAGTACTGAAAAAGCAAGGAATTAGAATGATATAAGGTATAGGTAGACAACCTGTTAAAGAGTACATCAGTATATCTAAAGAGTTTCCAACATTTGGAAAACCGGAAAAGTTAAGGAATTTGTGGCGACCAGCTAAAGTCAGAGAGTTCACGCAAAAAATCAAGGATTTAAATGCGTTCAGCATTCAACAGAAGTGAGTGTAATTTAAAGGAAAAATCAAAGTGAAAGTTTCATTGAAATGTCAGGTAAAGTCAGGAAATTCAAACATTTCAAGAAAAAGTCAGGGATGGTTAGAAAGTTTAATTCGGACAGTATGTGATGATAAATTAGTAAGTGAACACAACAATGAAGAGAGTATTGAGGTCATCGCTGAAAAAGAGAGAAATTAACGCACAAAGCCGTCGAATGTCAAATTGTCAATGTACGTCTAGTGATCAGGACGGGGCAAAGGGATTGCGGATCAGAATTCCGATAAAGCAGATGAGATGGTGAACTTGTCAATGTACCGACACTGCCAAGTTCACCGGCACCGATCTGTTATTTCATCTATGGGAGAGAAATTTCCAGGGAAAATTTTTCATCATCAATGGATTTTTCTCGGCTCTGGAATTTTATTATTAGAAGTGAATATTTCTATTTGCCCCTCCCCCCCCCCTAATTTTCTATCCTCGTATCGTTCATTGTTTATCTCACTTTTTTTACCTTCTCTTAGATTGTATTTTTGCTGTCTGGCTTCATTTTTTGTTCATAACACAATTTTTCCCCTCTTTCACATTGTATTTTTCCCAACAATATTGCCCGGATTGCCCGCCATACAAAGTTCTCAGTTTTAAAAAACTAAAAAATCAATATCTTTGGAACTGGGGACTAGTCACTAGGCAGACAATGAGCAAAACATTCAACAACAAAAAATGAATTCAAGCACAAGGAAAGTCTTATGAAGAGTGTTTAAAGACACCTTCTTATCATATGTATCTTCATATCTACAGGATCAGTACATTTTGCCTGAAATTTCAGGGAGGTGAAAGTAAATAAAATCCGAGGGAAGATCGAGGGCCGAGCGAGGTATGCATTTCATAGAATTGTTTTCCTCTTTTTTAGCACTCTCTGAAAGAAACCCAGAGCACGAATAGGATGAGTGACAAACAAAAAGAAGAGATCTGCTCTGAGGCATCCCTATAGAAGTAAAAGTATATTTTTTGACAGTGGAGGTATGGCAACACTTGTATACTCCTGCTTCGCAACTCCTCAGCACGATAAAGTTGCCCTTGCTCCAATAAATACAGTTATATCAGAAGATATAGTTGCAATTATTCTCTCTTAAAATTTTCAGAACTTCTTAATTATGATTTATCAAGAAGTTCCATATAATTTCCAAGGAAAAATATTCGAAACATGTCAATATATTGGTACAATATCAGGCAACTCCAAACTGTTCTTATGACTTTTAAGCTTAGCCAAAGGCGATTTTTGAAAGTTGGCAACACTATTTTTTCCATTTAAATGTTTGCAGAACAATCGATTCTCGATGAGCGACATCTAAAATTCGTATTTTTAATGTAATTAAATTGAAGGAAAACAGTATTGGCAACTTACAAGTATCGCCACTGGCAGCGTTCCTCCTGATATATTTTCCCCGACCCTACTTTTTCAAACATTGAGTCGAACAAAAGGGGTACGTGCAAAACGGGCCATTTGGGGCTCGGGGCGGATACCTTTGAGACTTACCCTGTTCATTCACCAAACAATGCCCCATCTTTTCCCAAAGTTTCAAGCCCCCCAAAAATTTTAGGGAGATGCGGCGGGGGGTCAAACTTGAAAACCTGCATAATTTTCGCGAATTTATTACTTGTAAACTAAGAAGTTTTGGAAAACGCCGTTTAAACGAGCGTATTCAGCGTGACGAGAGCTTTCAGAAGATGTATAACATCCTAGGGTTTTGTCAACTTCAGCTCGAGTTATCGCCTCTGAAGCGCCGGGACGCTCAAAAAAGACCCCTAATTTTTTCACGTTCGGGCCGATTAAAAAAAAAAAAAAAAAATTTTTTTATTTTTATGAAAAACTGATATGTTGTTCCTGACTCTCTGTAGCCTCTCTAGCTCTTTATAGCATGCTGGGGAAATGTTTTGGTCGCGAGTTAAAATAAGAGCGGGAAAGGAGCGAATGTCGGGAAAATCGGCTATTTTAAACTGCGCGCGCGGCGTTGATCGGAAGGAAAACGTCCTTATTCCTCTATTCGAACAGAAGGAATCTTAACCGCAAATTCTGAACCAGACGCTTTGATTGGTCCAGAGCGGTTCATTCCAATCATTCCAAGTTGAACCGAAACAAGCGGGAATTTCAAATAATTCCGGATATCCTGTTTACCAAATAGTTTCCGTTTCCGGTAAACTGTGTTGTCAGTTTTACTCATCAAATGCTCGTAAAACTGACAACACTGTTTACCGGAAACGGAAACTATTTGGTAAACAGGATATCCGAAATTATTTGAAATTCCCGCTTATTTTGGTTCAACTCGGAATAAATGGAATGAACCGCTCTAGACCAATCATAGCGTCTGGTTCAGAATTTGCGGTTAAGATTCCTTCTGTTCGAAAAGAGGAATAATTGGGAAAATGAAGCAATTTGAACCAATTTGCGCAATCTCTTTTTCCATTCGAGTGTTTTTAGGTTAGAAATGTGTTTACTTATTACTTGCATGATGCATGATGTGCATGTTATGTTTCTCACTTCACTTTCTTCCAAGTTTCTTCCAACTGACCGTGAGGTGAGCAGCCTTTGATTTCCCCCACATACTTCGAGAGTGGTTCTTAAATACTTTTACCTGTTTTCTCAGTTTTTTCGGTCTATCAGTAGTTGCCTGTGTTGAATGTTAGCTCTTAATTATTGAGACAGCTGATAGCCGGAGTTCCTCTGAGTACAGTTTTGTTGGACCTGGTAAGTGCTCCGTTAACCTACCTGCAAATCTATATGGAATGTTTTTGTAGAGCATGTAATTATGAGATATTTATGCCACATTTTGCCAGGTCTCACCGCAGATGATTCAAAGATGGAACTACAAACTGTAGGTATTGGTTCGCAATGTCGCAGGTTGACAGTTGCCTGTCAAATTCAAGGAGAAAACAAGAGCCTGCATTGAATAGTAATAAAGTGTGGTCCCCTGAGTTTCCCGTGCTTGCTTTTCAGCCAATCAGACACTTAATGACCACTTCTGAATTCTTTATGGAAAATAACATAGGAAATCGAAACCAAATTCAGAAGATTTTTCGTTAAAAGTATGTCTACGACTGACTTCTCGGGAATTTGGCATTTCACTGATGTATTATACATCCCTTTTTCTCCAAAAAACACTAAAGATCTTGATTTACCAATTATCAATTTTCTTCCACTTGAATCAGCAGGACAGTCAGGAACATCAACCCAAGTGGAAGGAAACTGAAAATTCAAAAATCAAGATCTTTGGTGTATTTTGGAGAAAGAGGGATGTATTAGTATTATACATTAGTCAAAACGCCAGATCCCTGAGAAGTCAGCCGTAAACATATTTTTGTCAAAAAATTGAATGAATTTGAAAAAAAAAAAAAAAAAAAAAAAAAAAAAAAAACCACACATGGTTCGATTTTCCATTTCACCTATTTTGTAAAAGGAATTCAAAAGTGGTTGTCGGGTGTCTGATTGGCTGATAAGCAAGCGCAGGAAGCTCAGACTAGTATCAGGCAACCGTGCTTTCTTCCTATTCAATGATAAGCACCAGTCTTAGTACCTGTCTTGTTTGCTCCTTCATCAAAATGCCTAAAACTATCTATGCATAATTGGCTGCGATTTGTGCCGGCCTTTGTCAAGGTGTTAAAATTGATTGCTGAAGGCTGAACTGAGTATAGTTTTATTAATAGGACATACATTTTTAATTTATCAAAGCTTCTGGATATTTATGTACATGAGAGTAAAATAAACTTCAAGTGTATAAGGAGAAGAAGTGACAACGAGTGGTCGGCACCGACATCATGTAGTATTTTAAACATCCCAAACATCGGCAAACAGAACTGAATTTCCGCAAGTTTTAAAGAATCAACGAGGTAGAGTTATTTATCCTGTTCGGCTTTTATCGAGAAATTCAACATGAAAACCATCCTTTTACCAGAGGCTCTTTTAAATCATGGATTTTAGCTTGCTCATTTGATGTTAAGACTTCAGTTACACATTTTTCATAGCAAAACTCAATTAAAGTGCCATCTGCATGCACAGGTTTGAGGTTTTTTTTTTCAAATTTTTTACTATTGATTTGTTTCAGGCATCGTCCGTTTCTCATCATGTCTTTACAGGAATTGGGCAGTCAAGCCTACCAGAAGGCTGTGTTTGCTGATTACAATGGAGCCGTCCAGATTTTAGACAAAGCTATTGCCAAGTTTCCCAAGGATGAAAAACTGTGGAACAATAGATGTTTCTGCCTTTTAAAATTGAATAATTTCAAAAGGTAAGGCATCTATCATGCTCATAAAATGAGCAGATCTCTCAAATGGGGCCTCCTTATGCATTTCATATTATCTTTGGCTGTAGTCGAAAAATGTATTCTCATCTCCAAATGAAAAATTGCTTATCTCGACTCAGGTTTTATTTTTTAACGGAAAACCAACCAACAGTTGTTCTAGACTGTCACTGTGAATTATCTTCACTTGTTTCGAACTATTCTCAGCAATTTTTTTTCAGTTTTCTTCCATAAACAAAACGTAGTCGAAGATTTTGAAGCACTGCAATGGAGGTTGGTACGCATTCCTCGATTTAAGCCTTTGATATTTGTTTCAACAGTCAGCTGTGACTGTAAACAAATGTATCATAATGTTTTAAACCTCATTTCAGTACATTTCTTGAGCAGGAACAGATGCTAAAAAATTAGTGAAAAAATTAGAAAATTTGGAGAGTGGTAACCGTGCGTCTCTCACTACAAAACGACGGTGAAACTACCAAACAACGTATCTCGGTTTGTGACATTGCAGACTTCCTGTCATAATTTAATTTTTAAATGGAAAACTATGCAGCGTCAATTCTTGAAAACTTCTGTGATTTCTCCTCTTTGTGCGGAGAAAACTGTGAGCATTTTAAGGAATGATATTGATTTGATCTCCTTCAAAAAAATAAAATGTAAGCGGAGATTTTTAAACACCACTGATGAGATACATGGTCTGGTAATTTCACTGTTGGAAGGTATATTGTTTGAGAAGAGCAGGCTAAATTTTAATTTTCTAACTGGTTTCAGAGCTCTTCAGGATGCAGAGAATATGGTGAAACTTTTCCCTCAGTATCCCAAAGCCCACTACAGAAATGCAGAAGCGCTTGCGGCAGTCAAGGTAAATTGAAAAATTACTTTTTCGTCTGTATGATTACATAGTGCAAAACCACATATTTCCATTGTGGTGTTTCAACATTTCCACTCCAATTTATTTTTTTGAAGGGAGACATGCCAACTTTACAGCTTGAAATATTTATTCAGCAGAATATTCTGCTGACAGAAGAAAAATCAAGGATGTTTTCAAGAAACTATCTTGACTACTTTTCTGAAGAAGAAATACATTATAACCGGAAGTCTGTAATATGTAAATAGGGATACGTGACTCCGCACTTAGACCATCAGTATTTTCCAGCTATTACAGTGCTCCATTACATCATTTTCACTCAGCAAATAGTGTTTGCTCACAAAATTTCGATTGGACAAATATTTTTAAGGTGACAGCTTACAACTACTTTTTGTCAGAATTGCACCAGGAATGAAAGTTAATTTTTCTTCTCTCCTCCTATAATCCTTTTTTGTTTTATTTTTGTTTTGAAGAGGTTTACAGAAGCTGAACACAGTCTAAATTACCTTTTGAAACTAGATCCCAACTGTGCAGAAGCCCAGAGATTATTATGTCAAGTTCAGAGTCAAAATAAAGTAAGGAGGGTCTCCAATCTCGCTGCCATGGATTCCAGTCGAGTAAGTCAATTTCATTCTCTTCTTTTTATTGAGATCATCACATAACATCATATATCTCACTAATCAATTATTCGACAGTTGAAAGGTTGGATTTCTGAAAGTAATCGAAACAATCAAAATCGAAAAGTTTGGAATAATCATAATCAATAGCGTGAAATAGACCATCCTTAATACGCAAACATGCCTGGATTGCTTGTAGAGATGGACGATTATTTCATTTATTGATTATTTGAAGATTCGATCTCCCAATCAATGGAAAGAATTGGAATAAAAAAGTTTTGATTATTTGGATTTGTATTAAATAATCATCCGTTCCCAGTTGTATTTAACTTATTCCTTCGCCTGGAGGGCCAGTGCGCTTTGTGATTAAAGAACAATGATGAAACTGCAAAAATGCGTAGCTTGGTATGCGATGCTGGAGAAGTCCTGTCATACTTTATTTTCTCCTTTGAAATCTACAATACATCATTTTATTAAATTTCGGTGATTTTTCCTCTTTATGTAAAGAATATTTTGCCGAAATTTCTAGCCATGATGTTGGCTCAATCCATTCTCCTTTTAAGGTGTGGAAAAGAAGCGGAGATTTTTAAACAACGCAGTAGAGATACAGTTACACTGTCAGTAATCTTATCGTCACATCAGTAAGAATGAGTTTGTCTGGACGAAATTGCAAGCACTGTGTGTGTTAGAAGAAGATTGTTTTTTTGACTCAAATTTTATTTTTTGACGAATGATACGTTTTTTCTGTGTCGAAAAAGATGAAAAATCGGGAAATTTCAAAGAGAAAACTCTTAATTGAACTTTTTTCATATCCCGGTGAAGATACCTTTTTGGTTCTTCTTTACGTGAAAATGCCTCTTTGTCCTTGAGTAAGTTTTTTATTGCTTTATTTCAGGAAATTTCAATAAAAATTGTTTGTAAATTTCACAAGAAATTTCAGTTCATATCACATATTTTGCAGTTTATTTGGCGTTTAGCACAGAATGAGTAATTTTTAGAACCAATCATATAATATAATTTTTCTGTTAACTGTTATTTGTAACTTTTTTTTACTACACTTTTCACGCACCTAAATTTTACTTATAAAAGAACAGAAAAAGATGCCCCTACTCGGACATTTTAATAACTTTTTAAGTTTTTTTACATTCCAAATTTTACTGTCCATTGCCTTTAGGATGATTTTAATGGTTAATTGGCTCTTTCACGAATTATGTTTTCTTTGTGAGCAAGAAGTTTGAACTTACCAATTTCAATGTAAGAAATGAAATCTCTCATCTTTTTTAAAGGTTGATTTTGATAGTTTTCAGTACGATCCCCTTGAACTTAAACGTAAGAAACAAATCTGAAGATTTTAAACTTTATTGGCTCATCGAAATGTGTTTTCATTTTATCTTGCAGGCTGTAAAAGGGTCGCAAAAGGGCAGTGACCTATACTACTCTGATGAAGATTTGAATAAGATGTTAGAACGGGCAGTTGCACTAGAATCGCAAAACAAACCATCAAAAAAGAAGAAAAAAAAAGGTAGGTGCCTGTCGTAATGAATTAATCCAAAATTCATCACCAAATGATTCTGTGAGGGAGAGGGGGTTAATCAGTGTTACAAATTTTTTTTAGGGGGAAGTAGACCTATGTCATGAATGTGCCTTTTATCAGGAGTGGAGGAGTCTAAAAATCTGATCGTCAGCTTTACTTACTCGTATTTTATGAATGGCCCCTAAGATAAATAAGTTCTCAAGAAATTTGACGTTTCTCAACACTTGGTAAATGATAAACATACCCATAGGATTATTACAGATCGTTCAAACTGAATTCTAAAAGTTTTACTGACTGTTCAGCCCGGTAGAGCAAGCAAGATCAGCTCAAAGTTCAGGCCAAGGTTCATAATATTTTTTCTGTAGTTCTATAGGCATCTTGAATGCTTAAAAACAGGACTGTCCACTTGACATAGAGAGCTCACTTGGCATAAAAAAACTTCCAGGGTCTATTCTGACTACTGCCAACTTGAAATCAGGCATTGACAACCACTAAATACTTCTTCTAATCTAGATCGTTGCCAAATTTCTTTTGATAAAATACGAATTACATGGATAACATGCGAATGGTTCTCTTCCAATTTTCCAGTGCATTTCATTCGTATTTGATCTCACAGTATTTGAAAATTTCAAGGAAAAACATTTATGAACTTCTTCAAAAATAAATGTTCCATTGTTAAAGGTTTGGCACTATTCAAATGTTTATACGGTGGTTTTTCTCAGCACAGCAGAATGGACCACTAGACAAGGTACAAATTTCAGCATTCTGATACATATTTCTTAACTATTTCACGTAAAACACGATGCGCACAACAAAAATTACCGAAATCAACTCCTTCCGAAGATATTTAATGATTCTTGATTGGTGAATTCAAACTAGCTGCTCATGAAAACTCAATGCTCTACATGATTTGCATTGTGCGCTAAGCGTTATCATGACAATCTCTGCGATTTTAAAATCAGGCACCCTCAATCTTGAGGCTTTGGCTCAGCTGTAGCAAATTGCTTATAGTTTGAACAACATATGGTGGGAAATGAACATTGCTCGATTGAGAAGCTTGCTGAAACCGTGTTAGTGCGCGATTTGACTCACGTAGAGCTTTGAGTTTCTTGTCAGCAGGCAGTTCAAATTCCTCGTAACCAATGTGAAAGAAAAACGTTAATATCTTCGTAAGGAGTTTCTTTCATTCATTTTCATTGCATGAATCGTGCTCTACGTGAAATTCTCATTAAGTAACATGTATCAGACTGCTTAAATTCGTACCTTGTCTAGTGGTCCATTCATTTCTATCTTCTGACTATTAGTCACCCCTAGAGCAAAGATTTTACAACTTTGACACAACAGAGATTGTGTAACTTGGAAGAGTACCCACACCTCTGACGCCATTCATGTTTCCTGTGTCTCACCGCAATTTTGATTTTCTTTGCAGGGCTATTCTAAGTAGACCACATTTACAAATTGGGTACTTGGATCATTTAGGAATCTGTGCTTGAACTACCTGATCTTCACCAGATTTTTTCCAGGGTATCATCGCCAGGAGAATATTTTTACCCCTTTTTTTTTGCTCGTCTGATTTTCAGCAGCTGAATGTAAGCAAACGCAGCTCTGCTGTTCCCAGCAAAAACGCTGTAACTCACTCCAAATTTTGTATTTTTTTTCACAAGAAAACTGAATTGCTAGAAGGCTTTATTTTTTCATCCTAAATTCCTATCGGTATTCCAGAGTCAACTTGGAATAGGAAAGAATGAATTTTTTAGTTTTCTGGCATAACAGCATTTTGTCTGAAGCTAATTGATAAAAAGTTGAATGGAGCTACAGTTTTTTTCTTCTGAACGGTGGAGCAAGTGCCTAGTCAAGAGATCAAAGTTTGAGTAAAATTTTCTACTAAGTTACCATTTCATTGATGAATTTTTATTTACCATGACATTGTGAAGGTAGCATTTAATTTTCATGCAGGCTCATATTGTAGTTTTTTTCTCTTATTATTTTTTATTTTTGTACACAATTTTTTATAAGTTAAGTCGTTTTATACCCACAGTATAAACTGTTCTCACTTTAAGGCTCAAATTAACATAACATAGTTATATTAGACTGATTTTATAGTACGTTGTTAAGTGCCCATGCAGTCAATTATCTGTCAATTCACTTTTGCCTTGGTTTGGTACAAGGCAGCATTTCGTTGTCGATTTGGCATCTGAATGGTTGCTGTTTTTAATTGAAAAGAGCGAGCTCATTTCATGAATTTTCAAACATCAAATATTTTGAAAATGTTACAATTCGGCGAGTCAATTATCGAATCATTTTTGAGTAAGCCTGATTTAGAAATCTCCGTCGCAACAATGCTATTTATCGATCAAGTTAATTCAAAATGATTTTGCAGTCTAAGTGTTGTTTTATGAAGACGGAATCCCATAGCTTTGTCACGGTCATTCGTTGTCAGTAATTGATACCCAAGCACACAAACCTCTAGATTTTTGCCTCTTTGAAAAAAAATGCGAGTTCTAATTTGCAATGCTTATAAAAAAAATTTTTCCCTGATTTTCTCGTATAAGTTATTGTTATTTTCAAACTTAAAGAGGCAGCAGCTTTAAGCAAAAGTTTATTTAGATCCGAATTTTATGAAAAAAAGCACTTTTTTTGAGCATAAAATTGGTTGACGAAGTATTAAAAAATGTTCTAGGGACACCCAGACTTGCATTTTAAACTAATTGATAATATTTCTTTTTAAGAAGCCTTTTTTGCATTTAAGCTTGTATGTAGTCTCTATTATTGTGTTAAAATAAACATCATTTGGCATTAAGGAATTACTTTTCCCGGCTCATCCATAACCGTCCATTTACCTGCATTGCGTCTGCATCGGGTAACTAATGGTATGTATCGATGGTAAAACAGCAGAAATGCGTATTTCGATGTGTGACTTTCCTGACTTTCCATCATACAAATACCTTCTACGTGGAAAACTACTGAACATCATTTCTTGAGACCTTCTTCCGTTTTTCTTCTTTTGTTGAAGAATAATGTGTGAACATTTCAAGCCATGGTGGTTAAGTCTCCTTTTTTTTTAAAAAAAAAAAGAAATAGGAGCGGGGATTTTGAAACGGGATGCGTATTTTTGCAATTTCACCATCAATAAGTTGTTGTTTTTAAAATGAGTTAAAATTGTAATTTCTTATCGCAAAATGTAGGCTATATGATGATCTGCTTGTATCAGAAGAGTATTTAACAGTTTTAAAAGATTGTGATAAAAATTGGAGAATAAATGAATTTTTTGTTGTGATGAATCTTGTCCTTCCTTCTCCTATTTATTTTGACTTTTATATCTGTTGTAAATGAGGAAACCTTTTTCAAAAAACATTTTCAATACCATTTATTTACAAAAGTTACTATCATCAACCACACGTTGATAAATAGAAAGGACTGATATACACAATTACCTTTAAAACAAAGGAAACTTGAAAATCACATCTGGTAAAAATCAAAAATTAACATAAGAAAAACAAATTTTTTGGGGTATTGGAAATTGAATAAAGAAAAACTGAATATTAAAGATTACTTTTCAGTTATCCTCAAATAGGTAGTATTTTTACTTTGAGGACTTGAGTTTTTTCCTTACCATCCTGAACTTTCAAAACATCAAAATACCACTCTCAAAGAATCTGATCTGTTCTTCTCTATCCCTTGAACATAAAAAAAAACTTTATCAATTGGATAGAGTTGTAGAGGATCAGTCACACATACATTTTGGTATTTTAAAATCTCATCTCCTATTTTAATCTTCTGAAAGGAAACCGACCGATATTCTTACTTGCAAATTATTGCGATTTTTCTTGTTTGTATGCAGGTTAGCTCCACAAAATTTCAAGCAAAAATGTCGGTTGACTTCCTTCAAAAGTATTATAATAGGAGATGAGATTTCAAAACACTGCACTCTAAACCTGTCCATTTATCATTTTAAGCATAATTTATTCGAGAAAATTGAAAGAGAAGCACTTTCAAAAAATGATTCCGCCAATAAATTGACTTGATAGTAGTTTAATCGAAGGGAAAATGAGGCATCATAGCATTTTCCCATAAATTTCTGGGATTAGTATAAAATAAAAAACAGAATAGACCTAGCCGTTAGAAATGATGACCTTTGAAATTTTACGAAAACATCGCAGTGTCATTGATACATTACGTTGAGGGTGCAACTTTAATGAGCAGCATAAAAATTATTGCCTAATATCAAGATCACTTAATACTTAGGACCTGATTGAAGAGGAGAGATCTCTCCAGAAAAACGCACCTTCAGGATACGAACCGTTGCTGGGTGAAATCACTGTTTGAAGTTGACTGAATATCCGCCTGTGTTTGGATCCTGCTGGACTTGGAAATTATTGGTTGATAATCCAAATGGTCGTAAAATCATATTGCCCAGGTCTTTTAACTTACCTGTGAAGAAATAAAAAAATACAAGTAGAATGTATTTCTTGCCTAAAATCGGAGGATGAGATTCGATTCTTGAAGAAAGGATAAGACAAATTATATATATATATATACATACACCTTCTGGCTGAAGTATCTCAAGTGCCACTGGTGTTTACGCACTACATTGGCCAACTACTCAAATTTGTCCAATTTTTTACACAAAAACTTTTGAACAGAATCGCATGAAAATTTTATGTAATATTTCTTATGTCATCTAGATGCACCTCTGAATTGTCATGGAAATTTGTGCCTGAGTGTTTAAGAAATAATTAAAACAACATTGACACAGCGTTAATGGTGCTTGCAATACTTTGGTTGGACGGTGGCAATATTTATTTCAAAGAAAAAAAGAGGGAAATTCAGCCAGAAAATTTTGGTGGGTGAAAAACGTTTTCGGCACATGTTAGCTAGCTCCCAAAATGAGCCCTGTAGCTAAAGAATGAAAATTTTCAGTCCTCTAATGATACAATGTAAACCTATTTTATTTTTGAGTTTTGTACTTATATGAGTGAAAATCCTACGTTTTTAATGTTCACATAAAAAAAAAGAAAAAAAAAAAGGAGTTTCAGTTGCAGACATGTTATCCGCTGATAAGTCAATCGTCGAATATGCTGTTTTATCTCTTCACCAAAACTGCTGAGAACTGACAAAAAGTACAGTAATGCCCTACCTTTTATCTGGAGGTTCAGTTTTTTTACATGGTCAAATTCGAGTTTTTTGTCAAAACCAAGTTAGCCAACACAACACAAACCGGTTTTTTGGGTGAGGATTGAATAATATGTGTCTGGTTTTCTGTGTTTTTTTTTGTCCAATTATACAACTGTGTTTTATGAATACGGTTGAAATTTGGTCAAGATTGTGCTTCTTGGTTACGAACAGAGCCTGAAATAGCACTTTTTCAGTCTTATTTTGGTGGTCTTGATTATTATCCAACTTTCCTAATATCCGATGTAGCCCTCGACACAAATCAACTGATAATCAGGGCATTGCTGTAAAGTTCCAAGAATCTTCAAGCACATTCTGAAGAAATCAAGTACTTTTGAGGCCTTCTTAAGTTTTTCCCAAAGTAACCATTTTCGAAGTGTTTTCTGAGGCTCCTAGATTCTTATGATTTAGATCAGTGAAAAAACGAAATTGATGACTTACCTAACATTTCTGTTTTTAGTTTTTCATTCCTCACATTGATTTCGTCTTGGAGTCTCTGAGAAAAAAAAAAGGAAAGGGAAAAATAAATAACGACTCATTGAACAGAATTACTCAAGACATCAAGATACAACTCTGAACTTTAAGTTGACATTAATGTTCACTTTCCACTAACAAAATGTGCCCAATAGATTGGATCATCAGTCCGACAATTAAGTATTGCCAATCAAAATAAGGAGGCTTTTCTACTTTTGGATTAATATTATTTGGAAACCTAGTGTCTAGACACACTCATTCAATACTCTGTTTGCGATTCATGTTGATCAAAAAGTAAAGGCGCCTCTCAAATTTGATCCGCAACTCTCGACAGTTCCATCGATGACCCATTTTGATTGGCTCATTTGGATCAAGCAAACCAGCTTATGAATAACACTCAAACACACAATCACACATTGTATCAACACTAACAAACAAGCAAGCACAAATACTTGCACAAATTCATGTGGGCATATTTTTGGCAAATAGTCACAGCTTTTGATCACATTTTTCGACCAAAAACCAAAAATAATTACCACGTCCTGGTCTCAGGTTCAGAACTGCAAACATATTACTCTGCAACTACGACAATAAAAAGGTGTCTCCGGTTGGTCTCCTGGTACTTTTGGAGTGGATCGCCTCTGATCGTAAATCCATTCGTGTTTTGAGAAATCAGATGAATGGAGCCAGTTATTTCTGCTACAATGTCTCTTTCATTTTTTTTTTTTTTTTTTTTTTTATACATAGTTTAAAAGTGTTTTGCGACGTCTTTAAATTTAATAAAGAGCTCTAAATAGCTAATAGTAATGACTCTCTTAATAAACTTGAGTAAACTGTTCTATAACAGTAAAAGTTCCACAATTCACAAATCTTTGTCCAAATTTTGTTGGCCAGTTAACGTATGTCTGAAAGTTGCAGCAAGGATGTTGATTTTATTGTTTGATTGCTGCTAAATTGTTTGCAACATTAAGGAACTGCCATTGGGTGACTAGAGCCTGCTGGTAAAAAAAAAGCTCAACTTGCGCACAGCTTGGGTATACAACATAATTTTCCTGACTTACAGTTGAATTGAGAGGTTACATTTCTCACCTGCAGTTGATTGTAGCCAACAAGATTCGGGCAATTAAGGTTAAAAAGGGAGAAAATCATTAAAATTTTCAGTTTTCTTTTATAACGACGGGTTGACTGAGGTCAGTGAATAGTGTGAACAAAAATATGCATTTAAAAAACAGCAAAGATTGATGTAAAACTGAGACAATGATACTACAATCACAAGTAGCTTTAGCGATTGGAATTTTGTTCTAAGTATATGAATTTGTAGATATTAAAAAATAGAATTGATGGTAGAATTAATTTTTTTTTTTTTCACTCACAGGAATAGCCTGGTATGATTCTCTTTGTCTAGGGTCCAATTCAATAATTTTCTTATGATCTGCTAGAGCTTCATCCAGCTTGTCCGTCTGCTCATAAAGTTTAGCTCTCCGAATGTATGGTTTTATGTACGTTGGTTCCAATTCAATGGATTTAGAGCAGTCTTTTATCGCTGCTGATTTCAAATCCTAGAAAAAAAAATGATGACAATGAAATAAAACCCAAAATATGAAAAAAAATTGGGAGATCTTATGAGTTCAAGAGTTAAAAAATCCATGTCACCAATTTACCATTAAAATTCAGGTTACCAACACAAAAATTCAAAATAAATCCATGTTCGACTCATTGGAAATAGTGTCAGGTGCAGACATGAGACTTATCATAGATTTACACTAAGTGATCTGGACCACCCATAGTAGGCTTTTTCTTGGTTATTACAGGTCAAACCAAGTCAAGTTAGCCCAATGGAGAATTACCTCCTAGAAAGTTGTTTAAAAATAATTGCCCGCTTTCATTCATAGAAAAAAGAGAAGTTGAAATGATGGAACACAACAATTGATATGCAAGGGTTAAGCCCCAAACACAGTGGACAGTGAATTTAATTGGCATTTGCTCAAAATTGTACTTTGTTTGGCCTCTGCACTCCTAACTTCGAACCAAAATGATTCCAGCAGCCCAATTCCTGAAACGATTTCTAGCTACATTGGCAAGATAAGACAAGACATGGCCCTATTAGTGCCATTGAGTATGTCAAATTTCCTCTGCTGTTTTCGTTTTTGAATACAAAACCAAGCTACACTGAAACTTGTAGTATATTTTTAATTATAGAGACTAAATTCAGAGAGGGTTCAAAAATTTTTAGTAGTATACAAAGGGTGTTCAAAAAGTTTTGCAAATTTCCGAGTTTTGAGCAAACAAAAGCAGCTATCGATTTGTGATTTGTGTGTGCTTAAAGTAGACGTAATTACCAATAACACAAGACCAATAGCAGCTCTCTAGCTTATAAAATGACAGAGATACAGGGTTTTGAAAGTGAAATGCAGCGTAACGGCCTCCAGGATTTTTAGCTACAAAATATAATTGAAGGAATCAATGATTTTTCGATCATCAGGGATTGGTGTACCAACATTTCGTACCTGCAAACCAAACAGTGAACAAAGAATACAACTGCTCGGTCTTGACAACGCTGCGGTGGCACATTAGCAAAAAAGGACCGGATATCAAAGAAACATGTATGTTGCATCAAGACAATGCACGGCCCAGTTCACCCAGGAGTTCATGAAAAAACACAACATTGTCATCATCCTGCAACCCCCCTATAGTTCGGACCTGGCTCTGTGTAATTTTTGGCTCTTCACTGAGTTAAAGACATTTCTGGAAGGCACACAGTTTGATTTCATAGCTGAGATCAACCGCTGTTCAAAAATTCTTCAAAACCCTCCGCCAAGAAGACTTTGAAAAGATGAGCCTCAAGAAGAAGGCAGAACGGCTGAAACTTTATGTTCTAAGTGGTAGATAATACTTTGGAAAATGGCCGAATGTTGAGTCAGCCATGTCATCTGATGAAAAACCTTAAAGTTTGTAAATTTTTATAAGATTTTGTGAGTTGTTTCAATAAAAACACTCAATTCTTATTTAACTTTTTTTTTTCTGGACAAACATAGCTAAAAGTCCTGGAGGCGATCATGCTACTTGTCATTTTCAAAACCCTGTATCTCAGTCATTTTTTAAGCTAAAGAGCTGTTCTTGGTTTTGTTTCATTGGTAATTATGTCTACTTTAAGCACACACAAATCGCAAATCGATAGCTGCTTTCGTTTGCTCAAAACCTGGAAATGTGCAAAACTTTTTGAACACCCTTCGCAGTTCTCTGTTAAAAAATAAAACATGAGAGGAAATTAGACGACGCGAAATGTAGTAAGGTCGGCTCCTATGCTGATTCCAGTTAGTATTCTCAGCAATGGAAGATAATTAGAGTCCACACAAAATAAGTTTACGCACTTTTGAGTGCGACAGAGGATCCACCATCTTATTCCTAGTAATTACTTTTAATGTTAAACTGAAGACCTCCTCCTCTGGACCTAACCCTCTGGAGCAACCTTATTTGGCATGGAGTACATGAGAAGTTTGGATGGAGTAATAGTATACCAATTGGATTTTGGCGGCAGCTCTATTGGCATATAGAATGGCTCGATCTTTGGTGAAGCATAGAGGGCATGTCCTTAACCCTGCTGTGTAGGCAAGAGCAGATTCTTTGAACTCCATGTTTTTGAATTTCTCGTTTCCCTCATCTTTAAGGCGGTTGGCTTCTTTTTTGGCTTGCTGAAACATTTTGAGAGACAGAAAAATTAGGGCGAGAGAAAGCTTGGTGTTATAGGTAAGTTTTTATTCTTTTCACCAATGGTCAAGTAGTCCATAGAGCTAGTCCCACCCCTGATAACCCAGCCCCAGGTGAAGATTGCCTGAGACTATCAAACGCAGGTTACCTGCGTCCTTTTTTTTTTTTTTTTTTTTTTTTTTTTTTATTCTACAAAAGAGTTTACAAAGAGTATACAAAATGAAAATTACATGCGAAAATGACAATAAATTGGCAGGGATATTAAGACAAATTTAAGATTCTACAGCAGAAAAACATGAGGACATTAAGACAGCAGATCAGGCCCAAAAGAGTGTGATAAAATAGAAGACTTTAAATGAAGACAGCCAATGATTAGAGAGCATGTAGGAAGACTGGAGGTGGTGTAGGTTAAGGCATTAAACAAAGCGTAGAGAGACATTTAGAGCCAGAAAGTAAAGTCTGAGAGAGCTAAGTAAGGACCTTAATTTGATGTAGAAGACTGCCCGGCTGCACCTTTCGGTATATCAACGGGAAACCAACCTGCGTCCTTGCATCACATGTTTGAGCATTCCTTCAAACAGTTTTAGTGATTCAACATTCAATGCTTTACAGTGGACAGAATCAAGTGTATAGTTTAGATCATAGCAAGGCAGATAAAGAATGGTCGTTGCATTTTGATTTTGGCTGCCATCTTGAAGCATTGCGACGTCAGGAGGGTACAAGTTGTGCTGCGCAATTCGAGGTTGAGCCGGCCCGGCCCCGGCAGGCCCATGTTCCTGATACCCTGTGACGTCCAGAGGGTACGAAATGCGACCACCATTCTTTATCCGCCTTGAGATCATAGTTCTAAAAATCCTAATTGGTCAGTTACTTTATGATTTGACTCATTCTCACACGTAAAAGTCATGACAGGTGTTAATCATATTAGCATGTATTTGTTCTTGACATTCACTGAGTCTAGTCTATTCACAATGCCAGAGTCAGCTTAATGTATTGCTGTTAACAGTGTTGATGGCTACATTTAGACAATGACAGTTGAACAGGAATGTGTCACTCTGCTGTTGACTGAAAGGAAGGAGGGTAGAACCAAGGGAGGAGAAGATTAGACAAATGCCACGAGAGGAAATTGAATCATTCAACAAAAATTTAACTGCCAACCAACTAGACAGTTTGACATGCTGTCAAAATGATGAAATGGCCAGTTTTCTACCCATCCTTTGGAAAGGTTCCCCTTTAGGTGCCATGAAAATAGAAAATCCAGAAGCTTTACTGATTTAAAAGGAACTCTAACGCATATCAAACACACTTGACATAACACAACCAATACAATTCATTTGCATTTCTTAGGGTTCATTGATGCAGTGGTTGAAAATTCACTTTAGCCATTTTCCCGCGTCGCAAAATGGGAGCTGAAAAGGGGTTCAATTGTGTGCTGTTGAAGTTGTAACTGAAAATTGCGTGCAGAGATGGTGCTGAAAATTGCGCAGGTAACAACAGTCAACGGAGCATCAGTGGACCCCTTTCCAGCACCCATTTTGTGATGTAGGAAAACAGCTTCTCTGGACCATTGGAATTAAAGGAAGAAAACTGATAAAATGTCCCACCTCCTTTTCCTCCTCAGAATACGTTGACTCTGTCTGCTTCAAGGCCTCTTCATCGATGAAGTCTTCTGGATCTTCTGTCTCCTTATCCGCATCCTCCTTGGCATCTTCACTTTCATCCTCATCATCACTAATCGCAAAATCTTTTTCCTCGAAGTTGGGATCTTCGGAAAACTTATTAAAATTATTTGTGCTAGAGTCGGAGGGTTTCTTGTCCACTGAGCATGACTCTTCTAAATCTTTGGTTAAATCATCTATAAGCTCTTCGTTAGACGGGATACCGGCTTTGCTGCTGGCTAAAGAACTTTGAGGGGAATTGTCTGTCATACTGCACACCTGGAAGAACGTAAAATAAATCCGAACATAGCAAAAACGACCAAAATTAAAGCGGTTTAGAACAATTTTAAGCGAAAAACTTTGCAGAGAAGCGAAACATAACCTCAAACAACAAACCTGCCGATGCATGGTGATGCAGTCAAGTTGTTACCGGTTAGACACCGTCTTGGCGCTAATCCGCCAATCAGCTGACGCTGATTTGTTTGATTATAACCAATCCCGGAAGGTTTACGAAGGTCGGAAATTGCGCGCGCGGGAAGCAAAAAGTAAAGCGGGAATTTCAATTTTGCGCTCTTTCCAAACACGAGCGCTTTCTCAATTTCGGAGATCCGGGAGGCTCTCTCCCTCGCTTCGAGTATTTCAATTCATTTACCTTAACCTCTTAGTCCAGGCAATTGGGCATCAGATAGGGGCTCTTGGGGAAAATTTCCCGGAAAACTTTTTGATGAGTGATTCCTATGTATTTTTGGACGCTGAATCCGAATTTCGCATTTGTGTGAAGATCTTTTCGCCGCTGAAGCCGCCATTTTGAAAAAATGACCTAAAAATGGCCTAGAATCCCAATTTTTGAAAATATCTCGCTTATTTTTGATTTTTTGACCAAAGTAGTTATTTTCATAAATAAACTACATAAAATTCTAAAGAAAACAGGTTCTTATCAATTTTTTGATTTGACTGAAATTTAAGCCGCCAGAGCGCGCTGAAAAACCCGCCAAAATTCGAATTTCGCGAAACTTGCGCTTTTCTCGTGAATAATTTTTCTCAGGGCGACTCTACGTGAAAAATCTTAACTATCAAACTGATAGAGCAACAAATCTAATACTAGGAGTTGCTTTTTTCTAAATTTTTCTTAATCCTGGAGCACTGACAAGCTTTTGAAGTCGCATTGAAAAAAGCTAAACCGAGTATGGGCAGGGTTCGCCAGTATCTGCGTAATTACTCTTCTGTGGACTTTTCTAGGGGACTTATTTACGAGTCAGATTGTAAAATTTCATTGGAAGGTGGCCTTCCCGCCCCCCCCCCGAAAATCCCTAATAATTAAATGTCACAATTTACACCCCCCTCCTCCTCCTCCTCACTCTGGCAATTACCGCTATTGGCGCAATTCATTTATTAAATGAAACGTGAATGATTTCATCGGTGATTTCATCGGTTTCGAGCAACGGTTCGGTTTTTTGGACGGGAATAGGAAAAACGGACGGAAAAAAACTTACTTTGAAGTAGACGGACTGTATTATTACATACATTTGCAAAGCTTTTTCAAGTTTTAATAAAAACATTTCAGAGTTTTCTTAATTTTCACAAATCAAGCAATTTTTGAAGAAATTATACTCTGCATACAAAGTTATAAAATGCAAATCATGTTTCTACCTAATTATATTCTACAGCGTATTGTAGATGGTCCTGGAATTTTCGTGAGATCAGTTTGTGGCACATCCGAGTTCTTGTTTTTTTGATTGGATGGTTTCGGATGGATTTCGATTCGATCAATATGTTGCACTGCTTTGTTTGAGTGCAGTACTCTTGTTGCTGGTTCTTCAATTTCCAGGTCATTTTCGTCATATTCACTGTCAGTTTCAGATTTTTGGTCAGGTACCGGTGTTGATGGCTTAGATGAGCCAGGATCACAATCCTGATTATCATCTAAGAATGTCACAATTTCCGGTTCATCGATGTCTCCTTCCTCTTCTTCTCCTTGTAGGGTATCTTCCATTTGGATCGCATTTTGCAATTTGGAACTATAAATTCTGGCCTGGTTTAAGAACTACGCATGTGCCATTAGTTTCCCAATGCACACAAGTGTTTTTTCAGATGAGCCAGAATTTATAGTTCGAAATTGCAAAATGCAGTCCATTTGAAAATTATCGCAGGATTGATTGCACATCTGACAGAGAATGGTGCATCGTGAGCCATTTTTACGGCACCCACAAGTCTTGCGGCAACTTTTCTTGCACTTGCAGGCAATTAGCTTTAAAATATTTTCGGGAGCTGGTGAATCCAAATTTGTTAAAGGCGTTAGCCCATTTTTGGTGGCTTTCCAGCCCCAATTGCAAGGATCCTTTTTCTCGTCCTGCCACTCCTGGACCTGCAAATAAAGTTCGGAATGAATGCTCTGCTGCAGCCTTCTCAGTTGGAGGCAAAGACCCAAGATTTTGTTTATTTTGAAATGAAGATTTTGTAAAGCAGCCGTATCTGTACTTATTTAGAGAAACTTTCTCAATGTCTCTCTGGCCGTAAAGTGCAATAAACAGCTTCCGACCTGCAGCAGCAGAAATGATTTCACGTGTTGATTTCGAGTATTTATATTCCTCTGCATATTTGATTAAATCGTGCTTTTTTTAAAAAATATTCAATTTTTAAAGTGAATCAAAGATCAAATAACTGAACAAGTCATAGCTTGTAAGCTCATAACTTGCAACTTGTCGATGGACATTCATTCGTCTTCAACGGAGGTTGCCAATTTTAAACTAGGAGTTCATGATGTATTGATGCATAAGGAAGGTCATGCAAATCAGCGTTTCCATTTTTTCCATGTGTTGTAAAGTAACTTAACATTAACTTTTGCTCGAAACCGATGAAATCACCGATGAAATCATTCACGATTCATTTAATAAATGAATTGCGCCAATAGCGGTAATTGCCAGAGTGAGGAGGAGGAGGAGGGGGGTGTAAATTGTGACATTTAATTATTAGGGATTTTCGGGGGGGGGGCGGGGGGCCACCTTCCAATGAAATTTTACAATCTGACTCGTAAATAAGTCCCCTAGAAAAGTCCACAGAAGAGTAATTACGCAGATACTGGCGAACCCTGCCCATACTCGGTTTAGCTTTTTTTAATGCGACTTCAAAAGCTTGTCAGTGCTCCAGGATTAAGAAAAATTTAGAAAAAAGCAATTCCTAGTATTAGATTTGTTGCTCTATCAGTTTGATAGTTAAGATTTTTCACGTAGAGTCGCCCTGAGAAAAATTATTCACGAGAAAAGCGCAAGTTTCGCGAAATTCGAATTTTGGCGGGTTTTTCAGCGCGCTCTGGCGGCTTAAATTTCAGTCAAATCAAAAAATTGATAAGAACCTGTTTTCTTTAGAATTTTATGTAGTTTATTTATGAAAATAACTACTTTGGTCAAAAAATCAAAAATAAGCGAGATATTTTCAAAAATTGGGATTCTAGGCCATTTTTAGGTCATTTTTTCAAAATGGCGGCTTCAGCGGCGAAAAGATCTTTACACAAATGCGAAATTCGGATTCAGCGTCCAAAAATACATAGGAATCACTCATCAAAAAGTTTTCCGGGAAATTTTCCCCAAGAACTTCCCTATTGCCTGGACTACTCTGACTAAAACTCATTCATAACGCTGATTACGTGATCAAACAATGTATCAAACCTGCCCGATTCATTTCTAAATGGCAGCTGTTCCGTGAAAATCACTTGTCACGCTGCAAACAGCTGGCACAATATTTGAAAACGTTATTTATGACAAGGTCTCCGGTATTTATTTTATCATGAAAGCTGATGAAATTAAACGTATTGATGTATGATGATAATGACTATCCGCTTTCTGTGGCATATTTGTTGCCTACACGGTGAAATGGAGATGTTGCAAGTGTGAGGAATTTACGATTTGACTCTTGATTCTCATGTAAAAGTTCGCGAGAAACACGATGGTCCCACTGGTTTTCTCTCAAATCAACTCCCAAGCTCAAAAAAAGCTCTCAAGTTGAGGCCAAAATGGAGGGGATATCCCACGCTATCCGGCGAGTCCACCTCTACGTCAAAACAAACTCTCCATGCAAAGATAGGGAGCCAATACATTAGAGGGGTTGCCGTGTTTTCAGTTTTGGAGTCCCCAAATAAAGTGGCAGCCCTGCTAATGCTTTTGCTCCCTATCTTTGCATGGAGAGTTGATCTTGATGTAGAGGTGGACTCTCAGGATAGCGTGGGATATCCTCTCCATTTTGGCCTCAACTTGAGAGCTTTTCTTGAGCTTAGGAGTTGATTTCAGAGAAAACCAGTGGCACCATTGTGTTTCTCGCGAACTTTTACATGAGAATCAACAATCAAATCGCAAATTCCTCACACATGCAAACAGCTCCATTGAAGGCGGATCTGAAGTGGACGATTGTTAAAAGGTTTGCGAATGGTCCATTAATTTGGCAAAGTTTATGGAGCGAGATGATTGTGTAGTTTTCGAATAGATAATCATTTCGTGCTCTCCTCCTGTCGCTTATGTAGCAAAACTGGAGGCGAACTTCAAATGGACGATATCTACGTATCGATAGATAACATCGTTTATCGGGTCAACGGAGCTTATGGAGCAATAGAAACTTGCGTTCTTGATTAGATGATTATTCTTGCTCCTGGGTATGTTTGTTGCCTATGCAGTGAAATTGAAGGCGAAATTTTGATGGACGACTCTTACCTACGAATGGCACACCGATGGCGTAAGTCCGCAATCGCATATCTCGTTTGCGGTGTCTGAAAATTTCCGCCTCTATGTTATTTTTTTAAATGAGAGCAAATTGACATAATTCCTTGAAGTTTCGGCAGAATTTTCTTCGCAAAGAGAAGAAAAATCACGCCAGTTTGAAAGAATTGCTGTTGAGTAGTTTTCCGTTTAAAAAATAAAGTATGTCAGGAAGTCTGCGACGCCGTAAACCGAGTTACCCTGGTAAAAATTGGCGATAGGAGCTGCGTTTCAAAATACCATAGGAGTTTTTATAGCCGACTGAAGAAGGCGATAAAAAATCATATAGCTGGCTGTAGAAAGTGGAAAAAATCCTACAGCCGGGCTACACGAAGCGATAAAAAATTATACAGCCGGGCTATAGTTCCTATCGCCGGGCTTTACGCTTTATCGCCTGGCTGTTGCTTTTTCGCCATCGGCTATAAAAGGCTATAAGAAATTGTGTAGAAATTCGTGTGCTTTGTGAATCCTTAAGTTTGAACGGAATCACCTTAATATTTACAAAATGCACATTATATTTTCCTTTACTTTATATTTTTTTTTCATCAACTAAAATGAGAATAATCCATACCGAGTGTGCAAACATTTCAAAGTCATGAGTTGAAAAACGCTGACTCCACGAGATTAAATATTAGAGCCTAACACAAAG